GCATGTAGGGGAACCGAGGTATGGGCTGCTGCTAGATTTTTTGAGACAAATATTTTCCAATAATTTTCTTCTCGATCTATATAACTCTTTGTGAATTTAGGGCTTCTTTGAGCAATGGTGGTATGGGGGGCCGCTCTATTTCTATCTTTTCAGGTTTCAAATTTGCTTCTAAAGGTCCATATTCACTTCATAATTCATACTAAGTGTACTTCTTTATAAAAAAAACTACCCATAAGGGTATTCAAGTACAAAAGGACACCTACTATCTATAAATCAGACTTTGGACAAATAATTCTCATTTTTATAGTAAAACCTAAAAACCATGCCAATTTGAGGTGAATATTGTCAAGAACAGAGTGAAGAAATAAGACTTTTCAAGTCTCAAAAAAATATAGAACATCAGTTGATAATAGATAATACATAATTCACAAACAATCACATATTATCCTAAAACCAGGGTTCATGTCGTCCAAGTGATGAGAAACCAAATATTAATAGATCTTCATGGAGGAAATCTTATTCTTCTCTTCCATCTTCAATTTTCCCCAAATCTTCATCCTTCTATATGAGAATACAAGTAAGAAAGCTTCTCAAAATTGATCACAATTTGTCCCTCTCTAAACTTCAGATGCCCCACTTTTTCTCTACAAGTTTTTTGAAATATGAAAGAGTAAGTCCTCCAAATGCCCTCACTTTTCTCTACAAGTTTGCCCAAATATGAAAGTGTAAGTCCTCCAAAAAGGCCTAGTTCCTCTCTCTACATTCACTTAACAGAGGTACTTCATGGCCATGACATGCTAAGCTCCAACCATGAAGTGTAAAACAAAGCCAAATTAATGGTCTTCGTTGCTGATGCAAACTGCTCGTGACTTTGAATCACCACCATAATCTCGAAGCTTTTGGTCGTGACATGGTGACTTGGAATCACCACTATAAATATGTTTTTCGTTCCAAAATAAATCAAGGTGGATGCCATTTTGTAGAGAATAAGAAATTAAATTCTTATATGCATACAAATTTGAGAAACCTCTATGAACACTTTTTAAAACAATATTTTACCATTTCACTAGTGCAATTCCAATTTCTTTCTTTTTCCTTTTTCCTTTTTTATCTTTTGACATAATTTCATTTTTTTTTTTGGTATGAAGTGACAACCTTGAACCAGTTTGAGATGTTTAACCTCAAAATTATGCAAGCTTTATAACCACATATCAAATTTTGGATTGCTCTAACGGTTGAGATTGAAATGACTTTTTTAATCTCATATGTTTCAGTTATGAATTTTTGTGATATGATATACCAACATGATATATTTTTTACTATACGTTACATGACACCACAACTAGTGTGTTTTAAATCGAATGAGATATAGTCGTTAAAATTTGTTAAAAAAGTGGTTATGCATAAATTTGAGAATGTACACTTAATTTGTTATCGCCAAATTTCACAACTATTGTTATTTTTGTCCCAAGAAATTTGAAGAGAAATTTGCTTACATGTTTCGTATATGGACTCCACTCGACTTAATCCACTGTCGTTATTAAAATTTCCTCTCTCTTTCCAACCTCATTTCTCTGAAAATCACACCCCACAAGTATATTGTTTTGACTTCGATCAAGCCGAAGCATTCGCAAATCCATTAAAATTTTGCTAACCACCGCCTTTTGCTTCTACTTCATGTTGGTGTAGGACTCACAAAGAGCGTGGAGTGTATCAATACCCTTGTAGTGTTTGTGTTTGACTCATTGGTGTATACTCTTCTATGTTTGCATACTATTTTCCGAAGTTTTGAATACAAAGAGCAAATCAATTCCCTTTTAGTGTTTGTGTCTGGATCATTGGTGTATGCTCTTTGTAGTCAAAACTTATTTTGGAGAGGATTAATAACGGCTGCCAAAATAGCTAGGATAAGACAATGATCCACATTATACTCAAAGTGAGTCGATTTACTATGAATTTTTCTATTAATAAGTATAAACTTGTCATACATATTTATTATCCTCTATCTGTATTACCCTTCCTTGAATTATTCACATAGCACACTTTCTCTACAACTCGAATGATAGATTATCACTATTCACTCCCTAGCTAAATGATGAGGTAGAATACATCATATGAAGCATAAATCAATCGCTTCCGAAAGGAAATGAAGGAAATCATTTTTCATTGCTCAATCCATGTTATGCAATTGTTTTTCATTTTTATCTAAACTGTGTTCTCTTAGGGTTGTTTAGTTACCAAACATTTGAAATCTTCCACTCTTAGACCTTCTTTAAGAACATGTCATTGTTCTTTTGGTTTTATGTTGAAAAATGAAAGTATATCCCAAACAAAAAACTATCCCACTCCAAAAGTCTCGATTTGTGGTATTGAAAAGGGAAAGTCAGCGAACAAGGGTTTGGTCTAGTGGTAATACTACTAGCTTTGAACTTGGAAGTCCTAGGTTCGATCCCTTAAGTAGTACCTAATCACAAAAAATAAACCTATATCACCCTTATCTAAAAAAAGGGAAAACCAAGCTCATTGTCAATTGACAATCTCCTAAATGCCTTAAGTTTTTTATTAGAGTCAGATAACAAAGTTGATAATTATTTTTGGAAGTACATAAGGATCATTAATAGTATCTTCGATTTTAGTTCTATGTGTGGCAAGATCGATCATAGTTTGAATGTTAGGTACATAGTATACGTGTTTTTAATGAAGAAATAATTTGAAAATATGAACATAAGCGATCAATAAATATGATAAATTGAATTCTATATGTGAAAATGTTTTGATTGCATTGAAGAAAATGTTAAATGCTCATAATTATTTAGATACGCCAAAGAAAAAATCATTGAAAGACTATGTCCAAATTCTAAAGTTGAAAATGTTGGTCAACCTAAATCAGATGGTCGAGAATATGATATTCGAACGAATGACAAAGTCACAATTCTTATTATTTGGTTTTATCTCTAATCTAGACCAAACCCACACTAATTCTTGCCACCCCTATCAGACGAGGCAGCGATAATATATAAATTGAACAAATAAATGTAAAGAGAAGTAGCAATAATATTAGTGAAGAAAAATGACAAACAGAGGTGACAATTAGGATCCATATCTATGAAACCAATCCAATCCATCCACCAAATTATCCACGTAATCCAATCCATTTGATCCAAATCCAATTGGAATGGTGGATTCATGGATTGATCCATTGATCTGAATGGCAAATTATGGTTTACTACCTATACTTTTTATATTTTTTTAATATTTGGCACCTAAAAATAATATTTATTAAAATCTAATTGGAAAATTTCATTTTGGTACTTAACAATTTTCATTATGATATTTTAGTACCTAAACTTTTTGAAATTTACATAATGATCATTGGCTTGGATGGATCAATCCACCAATCCATTAATGCAATCCTTTTGCCACCTCTAATGACAAATAATAAAAATGTAGGAAAATATACCGCTCATCGAACAAGCATAAGATTAGTTATAGATTTATCATTTCAAATTGAACCCAAGAAAAAAGTGCTACAAAATCTTTATTCCTTCTAAAAATTGTTATTTTCGCTTAAAACGCCTAGGCGTTGCCTAAATACTGGGATGGCCACGATCCCAATGTCTTCCTAGCGCCTTTTTGACCTTGACAATGGTGTTTTCAAACCAGTGCTGTCAAAGCCAAACCGATCCGGACGGTCTGACCGGCAAAACCGCCACCCGGCCGTAAAACCGGCTCGAATCAGCTATTTAACCGCTACGGGTTTATACAGCGGCCGGCGAGCGGCCGAAGCGGTTAACCGCTCGAGCCGCTCAAGCCGGTCGCGCGGTTCGACCGTTTGGTTTACCTCAAAAGAAAAAATTAAAATCGAGAAGGCCAATCGTGGGTCTGGGGCAGCCAAACAAAACCCTAACTACAATTTCATTTCTTCGTTTTTGAATTTCGACCCTAGAACTACAAAGGGAGAGCGGCGCCACCCTGCCGTCGTCAACCATCTTGTCCCAACGTCGGCGCTTCCCCGCCATCCTCAATCAGCTTGCCATCGCATTGCCTTGTCGTAGCGAGCAGCTCCCCGCTCCCAGCGCTTCCGTCCCGTTGCCATCGCCACAAGCAGCTCGCCATCGCTAGTCCTTGTCGTAGCAAGCTGCTCCCCGCTCCCGACGCTTCTGTCCCCGTCGCCATCGTCGCAAACAGCTCCCTGCTCCTGCCGCAACATCTCCCCCAACCACTGCCCTGCTCCAGCCACTGTCCTGCTCCAGGCATCTCACCTCCACAGTCCGCAACATCTCCCACCAGCCGTCTCACCTCCTGCTCGAGGTAAGTTAATTTCTGGTTGATTGTAATTTAAATATTTTGTTTGCATCATTTTGATTTCAATGTTAATTTGCATTTGTTTGGTAGAGAATAGAGAAAATCAGAATATTGATTTGGCATGTCGTCCTCAAGCAGTGATTCATCTTATGCTAGTGGTGGTGAATGAGATGATGTTGAAGTTGTATTTGATAGTTGTTTGAGTTTGAGACTTTCAGTGCTTTCCATGTTTGAGACTCTTGTTTCATGTTCAGACTCGTGTGACATTGCTTTTATTTTTGAACAATGTGGTGGTTTGGAATTGGATTCTTGAACTTTTGGTACTTATGTTTTGGTTTGTTAAGAGTTAAGACTGTAATTTACTAATTTAGTCATGGTTTACCATGATTAATAAGTGTCCACTATTTATATTGATTATTTATTAGATACCGGCTTTCTAACGGTTTTTAAACGATTTAATGTCGGTTGGACCGCTAAAGACCGAGCCATTCACATTATCGGATCATACTCCAGTTCGCTTTTGACAACATTGTTTCAAACAAAACTACAGGGTCCTATGCCCAAAAACGAAAAGAAAACAAAACTACAAGGTCTGGTGATTAAAACGGAAGTAAGTTAAAATATGCTGGCTTCAAATCAAATTACTGGCGGAGTTGTATTATTTATATATGATTTTCGCCTTTTCTGGACCAACTGTGGAAAGTGAAGGAAAAAAGAGAAACGAAGAAAGGAAACGAGCATCTCTCCGCGAACTCTGAAATTGTGTAATAAGCTTACTGAGCTTGCGGAGGAAGAAGAGGAGGAGAAAAAAAAAAGGGGTCTAATATGGCTGGTTACAGACCCGAAGATGACTACGATTACTTGTTCAAGCTGGTTCTGATTGGTGATTCTGGAGTTGGCAAATCTAACTTACTTTCCAGGTTCACTAAAAACGAATTCAATCTCGAGTCCAAGTCCACTATTGGGGTAGAGTTTGCCACCAAAAGCTTGACTATTGATGGCAAGGTGATCAAAGCTCAGATTTGGGACACCGCTGGCCAAGAAAGGTTTTCTTTCTCCTCTTTTCTCTGTTAGCTTTTCAGTGTTTGAGTCCTTCTCCCGTGAATACTCTTTGTGCTGGTTTTCTCCTTATGTGTTTTGCTGGTGTTGATTCGATTCTGCTGCTGCTAGCTTCGGGATCCTTTGGGATGAAGTTTCAGCCCGGGTGGTGTTTATTCGCTACTGTAGATTTGCGTCTAACTGGGTCTGAATCTGGTATAAGCAATGGTGACCCTTTCAAGTTGGCCATTATGATTTGGCTTGCCGTTTGAATTTGCATGTTGTGGCCTCTAAAGCTTTTACTTTATACTTCTTATCAATACATGATTCTTTGATCTGCTTTCATATTGATTTCTCATCCACAATTGTCTTCCTGTATCCGATACCTTTCCTCTGCCGTGTCTTCTCTGCGAGAGAGTACATATGCCTCTCTTAATCTGTTGAGGCTTATGCTCAAGCTTAACTACATGTGTTAACTTGTAAAATTGCTTTCATTAACATGCTTGATCTGATTAGCGGATGTAGAAATTGGGTGGATGATCTTAACTGACAAGCATGTAATCTTTTTGTCGCTTGTGTCTCTGTTGATTCATTCATCTTTGCTGGTTGATATGTTTGAAACTTGAACGATGGTTTTTGATCTACGTATTAAGAAACTCCCTGACACGATAGCAACTTAAGCAACTGAATGCTCTTGCGTGCTTGCTATGTATGTCACTGCGTTGCCATGATTGATTGTTTTAGTTGATTTCTCTTACACGGTGTTTCTATAATTTACTTCTGAAAGTTATGACTGGAATCTTGAATTCCTGAGGAAGTCAACTTTCGGTGAACTGACTAGTCTGTTGGAGTTGCTACAGTATGTCCAGTGAAGATTGAAAAGCTGAATTAGCACTTGTAAGCTTTGTTTACGTGTGCCATGCTTCTAATCTCCTCGTGGACGTCCTTTACCTTTGATTTCTCTCACATTCTGAGTGGCATTTCATTTTCTGGCTTTCGTTATTGCTTTGCGTCCCTTGTTTTCCAATAGTCGCTGAAAAATTTTCCTCTATAATTAAAAGGGACTAATCGTTTGTTAATCTACTAAATAAAACCCTTTGAAACTGGGTAGCAACTGCCTACAGATTGTTTGACATTGTCATTGTTGGATGGGTCTCTGAATTGTTACCAAATAGTGAAGATAACTCCTCAATTTAACCGTTTAGGAACCGAATATAAAACTCAATTCGAACCTTGGAGTTTGGAGTTTGGAGCATGAGTATGTTGATCACTATAGATAGATAAGCTAACTCCTTAAGTTACTGAATAAAAACTCTGTTCGAACCTTGGACTGGGAAGTGTTCATGTGTTGATATCCATAAATAGTTGTCATTGTTCTTATCTCTATCAATCATCGAGATTACTGATGGAACAGAATGAGGAAAGCTTATTTATAGGAGTCTATGCTCTGCAGTCCGAGGTTCGAACCAATGCCTATTAATAATTGAGTTCATCAATGTAACTGAACATGACAAGAAATATGAAATGAATGCTTTACGTTTTTTCATGGTAAACTTCCTTTCTACTCTAAGCTAAGATCTAGAAATCAAGAAGAAAGGCATCTGAAAGCTATCCTATAACGAAAGGCATGAACTGTCTATATGTGTTTAGGGATTATGGTCCATCAGAAACCAAAAATGGGAAGTTGGTAGGGTTTTTAGTTTCTTGGAAAACAAAGCTACATTATATTTGAAATTAGTCTTGTGACTGAAGTCCAGGATAATCGTCGTGCAAGCTGTTGTAAAGGGTTAATTGGAATTCTTCAAGTCTGATCTCGTGGTTTGCCCAACTTAGGTTGTGATTCTTATGAGTTTCTTAAAATTAAACTGCCTTTTTTTTGCTAGAAGTTGCTTTGTATACATGTTTCAGATTTTGATGAGCATATCTTAGTGGTTGATTGTGAAGTCATCTTAGAATCAGAGGAACTATCTATTCTTTTTTCCCCTTCATATGAATCTTAGAAAACTTAGACCACATAAGTTGACAATTTTATGAAGATGTGCCAGCACATTAACTGCTTTGCTTCGAGCATGCTTTCTCTTGTAAAATAGTAAAGTCCAGTTTTCGAACTTCCTTCTCGGTGTAGGATGGGCCCAGAGGGGGTTGGGAGTGGGTCGTCTGCTCTTGAAGGTGGGGATGTGGAGCGTTGTTGAAGCTGTCTAGTTGCACCTTTCAGATAATTCTTCATTGGTGGAAAGTAATGGCAGTTTGAAAATGAATAGCCCTGAGAAGTCTTATCTCCTCGAAAGAGAAAGATAGGTAAAGTAAGAGTGTGAAAGCAAAATGTGGAGAAGTGAGTCATCAAGTTGGTAGGGGAAGCTCAAAATCTTGGCAATGGTTTTTGAACAATGATTAAACCTTTCCTACAGGATGTTTATGTGAACAAATGGGATATTGTTTCCTTTTTGGGTACACATGAACTGTGCATGCTGGGGATTAAGTCTTATCCAGTATTGCAGCGAACTGTAGCCATCTGGTTTCTTTTTACTTTTTTTTCCCCCCACGCAACTGATAGTTCATTGTGGTGCTCCATGGAAGCTGGAAGCAACGGTTCGTTAATTTCGCAAAATTGAGTTCTGTTGCAATCTCATGTTTACAAGACTACTATTTTCTTGTGGTCTTTTCCCATTCCTTTTGGAGCGTTGTGTGAATGTTTGTCAATAGTATTCCTAATCACATAACTGGTGGAGAAATAACGGAATCCAAGGTTTTTAAAGCCACTCCTTAATGGTTTAAGTTTGTTTTAGCTCCTGCAAAACAATCCCATCAAGTAGCATCTGAAGAGTTTCTTTTTCTTGCTTTTCAGATACCGTGCAATCACTAGTGCTTACTACCGAGGAGCTGTCGGTGCCTTGCTTGTCTATGATGTGACTCGACATTCTACCTTTGAGAATGCGGCAAGGTGGCTTAAGGAGTTGAAGGAGCACACGGACCCCAATATTGTAGTCATGCTGATTGGGAATAAATCGGATCTCAGGCACCTGGTGGCTGTCCAAACTGAGGATGCTAAAGCATTTTCCGAGAGGGAGTCCCTCTACTTCATGGAGACATCAGCTCTGACTGCAACAAATGTGGAGAGTGCATTCACTGAAGTCTTGAGCCAGATTCACAGGATTGTGAGCAAGCGGGCTGTTGAGGGAAGTTCTGATGGAAGTACATCTGCTTCTCTCAAAGGAGAGACCATTGATGTTAAGCAGGAAGGATCTGTTCTCAAGAGAATGTGCTGCTCCAGTTAAGATGGATTTTTGGTGGGTAATTCCTTTTAGCCGAGAAATTGGTCGTAGCTAAGAAGATGCACATAAGACTCTTGTTTAGAAGGGATCGGGTGGGAACGAGGGAAACACTAGTTTGGATTCGCGGATTTGGCGGAGCAAAGGTGAAAAAATGTTTTTTTCCTTCTTCAGAACATGGGAAGGGAAGTACTCGGTTTAACCTTTTCTTTGGGACAATTTGTATTGTTGTGTTTTCTTGTATTAATTGCAGATAACAAATGTCAAATCATGGTCCAGTATTCTTACTTGTTACAACTTAGCAAGGTTGTTGAAATTGACAAAGCATGTGGTTTGAGATTCAATGATCTGATCTTTGTCAAAAAAAAAAAAAATTCAATGATTTGATTAATGTTCAATATATTTGAACTGTTTTATATATTTTTTAGATATATATACAAATAAAATAATAATTTAAAATTTTAATGACGGTAATGAAATTTAACAGTTAGAAATAGAAAATTACCTCTCACAAAAAAGTTACATAACATCCAATGATGACATATCCACCATCCTTTACCCCTCTCCCACTTCCCCCCCTGTCTTCTTCTCTCTTATCTAGTGGTAGACCAATGATTTTCTAGGGACATTTTGGAGTTCGAAAGTGGTCCAAACATGACAACAACCTTATTTGTTAGACTACTTCTTTGTATAGGTGTCAAAACATGACCCGACCCGAGTAACCCGCCCAACCAACTCGATCCGCGACCCGCCCGCAACCCGATTGGACTAAAAGTCAATGACCCGCAACCCGCCCGACCTGTAACCCGCTTGACCCGCAACCCACTTGACCCGCAACCCGCTTGACTCGAATCCGATTGACCCGCAACCCGCTTGACCCGCAACCCGTTTGACCCGTAACTCGCTAGACCCGTAATCCGACTAACCCGAACCCGATTAACCCAACCCGAACCCGCCCGATTGGCACGAATAATACTACATAATATATTTTTGTGCATAAATATTATGTGTAGATAATATATATATATATATATATATATATATATATATATATATATATATATATATGGGGAGTTCTACGGTACCCAGGGTGAAATCTAGGGTACCGCATACCTTGAGTAAGAGAACGTTATCCAGAACTTGAATTGACTAATCTTTCGGACATGATACTATACTCTAACCCTTAAAGATCAACATCTAGGTCTTAATTCTCTAAATCTTATACCCCAAGATCAATTTAATTAGAAACAATAATCGACGGTTATGATTCGTTCAAATATAGGCAAAAAAATTAATGCACCATCTTAGAGTTTATAGTTTGCGATTTAGATAATTAGGACCTAGGGTTCACTCATTAAGGGTTAGCGTATAGTATCATGCCGAAAAATCCTGCTAATTCGGGGTCTAAATAGCGTTTTCATACTCAAGGTATGCGGTACCCCGGATTTCACCCGGGGTACCGTAGAAGGCACCATATATATATATATATGGTGGCTACTTCGGCGCACTCACTTTTTTGGGTGCACTCAGTGCACCCACTCTAAAAGTGTCCATATTACATCAAATTTTGAAATTTAATTAGTACTCTCAATCTAATATGATGATATGACATAGAATCATAACAAATCAATCAATTACCCTAACCCCTTAACCTTCAATTTTGAATCCCAATCCAAAATCCCAAATTGTAAACCTAAACCCTAACCCTAAATCCCTAAATCCTAAATCCTTCAAATTAAAGTAAATTTTGAATGAATTTTTTTTCAAATTCATGTGCTTCTTGTTCATAATATCATAAGCAACAATTGATACCGTTTTGACATGAATCGCATGGTTAGAATGGCAATTATGAGGCGGGTGCACTGAGTGCACCCAAAAAAGTGGGTGCACCGAATACGCCACTATATATATATATATATATATATATATATATATATATATATATATATAAAGTTTATGTGACTTGCCCTATTATTTTTTCATCTTTCCCACCAAGAACAAAAGTTTACTTTGTGTTGACAAATAAAAACTGTCATTTAATTGAATCACATAATAGTCTCACTATCTCGGTAGATAAGTAGAAATCCTAGAAGGGTTGTCCACATTTTTTACATTTGGTTGATGTATATAAATAATATATATAGATAACACATACATATGAAAAACATGATTGACTTAATTAAGCCAATCATATATCAGTACCTAATAATTACAACATTTTTTCACACATAATATAACTGGTCACATAACATTGTCAAAATATTAACCTAGCATACGAAGATTCATAATAGTACATAAGTCATAACTCATACCCTAGCCCCAATAATAAGAAGATACATAACAGTTTGCTTACTAAGTTCTACCATATAAAAAATAGTAGGATACAAATACATAGCTGACATTGTCACATCTTACATACCAACAAAATAGGTTCACAAATTAAAATGGCAATTCACTTGGCGATCAATCAACAAGCTTAACTTCTTCTCCATCATATTCTGCATCTTCATTATCCTCATCTGTACAATTAGTCGTTGAAATTAAAAACATCATTGTAAGTAAACTCTCACCTACTTTAGTATACACAAAGAATAGAAATTTTCTTACCCATTTTATATCCATGCATCCAATTACGAGTTGTCACAACAGCTTCAAGGGTATCAGACAAAATGGAAGTCCTCCATTTGGATAATATTCTACCTCCCAAACTAAAAGACAACTCTGAAGCAACTGATGAATTTGGAATAGAAAGCACATCTTTTGCCATCCGAGAGAGTTGAGGATATCGAAATTGATGATTCTTCCAATATTGCAATACTTTAAAAGGAGGCAACGTAGGAACCCCATCAATGTCTGCATAAGCAGGAATTAAAGGATCCGCCAAATATAACTCCAACTCGGATCTAGTTGATGTGTTCTGATTGATATTGGAAGCATAGAAACCCTGAAAATAATACATATCATCAATAATCAGACATAAGATCGAAAGAAGTATAAACAACAAGATGACTCAAAAGGTAGTTAGAATACTTACAACAGTGTGGCTATCCAAAGGAATGCTCGCAGAAGCCATATGCACCACACTTTGACTAGCACTACAGAAAAACTGGTATCTAGTCACAAGATCTTATACACGGGAGTTTTTCCCGTACTAAGAAGTATATTGTTCATCACGGTAAAATTTCTCGTAATTAACTGTATAGTTCTATTCACGGGAATTAGTTTACCTATATTATTCATGGAGTGTTTATCTTAACGACGAAACCCGCTGAGGTGAGACATGCGGTGATCAGCAACCCCAACAGCAGCAAGGTAGGGAGGATTTGGTCGTGGTCAGTGTTCGATGCTCTAATGGCACCAATGAGGACAAGCCTTGAGTCGACTGTTCATGCATTTAAGGCACGTGATGCATGTACTCTTCACTGGCTAGTGGCTACTGCCAATTGTCAAAGCTACTGTGATTTTTGTTGGTGAAGACTTGCTTGAGAAAATTCTACCACATCGTTGGTTTAAGAATCAAGTACTTAATAACAAAGCTATAAAATGTTGGTGGTTGTTAGTGGTTTAGTAAATTGTGGAGAGTCCAGTATATTGGCCCCTTGAAATGTGGGCTAAATGATTTTTCTCCTCAAGGCCCAACCGCAGGCTTCTTTTTGTCTGAGTTGGGCTTATAGAGTTTGTTCATGAGCTATTATCGAGTTGAGTTTGAATCGAGCTCAAATTGACATATTTCTTGCCGCGTCGAGCTTGAGTTTCATTTTTTTTTAAAGCTTGTATTGAACTCGAGCTCATATAAATTTTGTTGAGCTCAAGCTTGAGCTGGGCAAAAATACCAAAAATTAAGGCCTCATTCAAGAATCCATCGCTTTAAACACTTGCTCCAATCCACTAATGCCACCCATTATTATATACGTGGGTGAAGGGAGGGACATTGCATATCCACCGATGTGGTAGAAAACGCAAGGGGAGCAGGGAACACTTTCTCCGTCTCTGTCTTTCATCGAACTCGAAAGGGGAAAATGGAACTGATCTACTCCAACGGCCTATATATAGCTTCCGGAGATCCAAACGCCATCAACTCACAGACTATTAGCCAACTGGTGATCCCAAACGAATAAAAATGGTATATTGATTAATATAAATAAATGGTATAGCTCGCGGGAAGCAAACAATGTGAAATGGTTAACGGATAATTGCATATACAATTGAACTTCATATACAACTGAATTTGCAACTGCATTGATGTGGATGCTCTTACGAATCTTAACATTAGGACTTATATAACATCACACTAATATAACATCTAAAATTGACTTAACCAACCTTCTTTACATAACCTATGTTCTACCAACAATTTCATGACATGTAACAAGAGTTCGGGGTTTAGGGTTAGAGGTCATGGTTTAAGCTTAGGAGGATTAAAACGTATGTTCTTCACAATAACCAAATATAAATTTGACTTAACCTACATTATTCACATAACATACGTTCTACCAACAAATTCATCACATAAACCTAAAAACTTAAAAACATATGACTTTTTCCGTTAAAGTTGGCTAGCACACTAACTCTTCCGTTAGTATTTCTTTGGTGTTTGACTTTCAATTTTCATATTTTTATGATTTAATTCGATTTAAACAATTAATTTAGTTATTGGGTAGACATACAAATTTCTAATATTTTGAAAACTTTAGGATGTACATCGTAAATATATCATATTAAAATGACATTCCGACCAATGGATCAGACAACAAGTTGAGGGAAAATTTGTCAATCCAAAATTTAAAAATTACTTTTGAAAGCCCCCTCGTAAAGATTAAAATCTAGGTATTAATTCTATAAATTTCATATACTAAGATCAATTTAATTTGAAATTAAAATCGATGGTCATGATTTGTTGAAATACATGCAAAAAATTACATGCACAATCTTAGGGGTTAGGCTTTATGATTCTGATAACTAACACCTAGGGTTCACCCATTGAGGATTAGGGTATAGTACCATGCCCAAAAAATTTATTAATTTATTAAGGTATAGATAGCAATTATATATATATAGTGGCGGCGGGAGAGTATAACAGGGTGGGTTCTGGGACCCACCCTGACTCGGAAGGAATATTGTTCAATTAGGTACAATAGTTAATTTATATAGAAAATAGGGCGTATTTAATTTAGAATAGTTGATCGAAAGATTTTGTGTTCGAATCTTGGCGACCTCATTTGTTAAGTACACGGTATACAGATTTGTGCAAACTTCATTTTTCTATAAGTTGACTTTCTGATATGAGGGAGCGTGCTAGTAAATAGTATAAGATATATTATTGAATGATTCGCAAAGTTAACAAAAATTATTTTATCAGGTGTATTTTTCTTCTAAGTGGACCCACCCTAGATGAAATCCTGGCTCTATACATATATATATATAGTTCTATCGTACACCAGACAAAACTAGGTGTATGTCATATACCAAGCAAAATCTAGTCACTTATTTGTTTAATAATGTATCTTCATGTTTTTTTCATTGCAATATGGTGATCGGTGAGTTTGTTTTAAATTAGTGTAGTAACTAATTATAAAAAAACTCGATAGTTTGGACCGAACAACCCGCAACCCGAACCCGCCCGATTGACACCTATACTTCTTTGGTTCTTTTCATATGTAAAATTCACTTTTTTTTTTGACAATCATATGTGAAATTCACGACAACCTCCTTTCATCCCTTATTATGAATTGGCCTAGACTTCTCAGTCCCTTCTACCAATGTTTCCCCCCGCAAATGATGTGGACATTAACACCAAGGTTGTTATTTTCATGTTGACAATTGTTTACACCTAAAATTAATTCGGCCAGAATTAAATGTCGCATTAATAAGTCTCGGCATTTAAGTCGATACCGCGGTAAAAAATGGTGTCGTCGGGAGTCGAGCGGCACCACGGGGAGTTAAAACGGTACCGCAAGGAAGCTCAGCGGTACCGCGGTACTGGAAACGATACCGAAAATCAAAAGGGGGCCGCGCGTTTGGTATCGGTGTTGGGAAAGGAGTTTTATTATTATTATTATTATTATTATTATTATTATTTATTAATATTTCTACTCCTTGTTGGAAGGGGAAAATCGGTACCGCATGGAGACAAGCGGTACCGCGGATTTAAAAACGATGCCGCGAGAGCCTGGTAAGCGGTACCGATTAATTAAAAATCATATCAGGTAAGTGACCAAAATTCACCCAGCCCAATGCGAGCGCCGACTGGCGGCGGCTCCATGGATTATTATTTTTGGCTATATCAGCGGTGTCGTTTAATTCAAAACGGTACCGCGAGTAAGCCCAACGGTACCGCGGATTAGCAAACGACAGTGTTTAAATAAAAAAACAATGTCGCGAAAGGAAAGGCAAACGGAGCCGTTTTGGCGCTAATGATATCCGGATTAATTAACTAATATTGTTAATAATTATGTAGGACGGTGTCGTTTAGTTGAAAACGATGCCGCAAGAGGAAAGAAACGACACCGCGGATTTGAAAACGATGCCGCGGGTATAATCAAGCGGTGTTGTTTAGCTAAAAACGACACCGTTTAAGGCATCAACAACGCCGTAGTATTACTAAGCGATGTCGTTTTGTTGAAAACCATACCACGATGGTTTGGATTTTGGCGAGTGGCCCGGCAAGCTCAACGACACCGCAAGACAAGGAAAACAGTACCGTTTGGTAGAGAACAATGTCGTGGAATGAAAACGACATTGTTTGATGGGACCGGGACGGAGCAGTTCAAGGTCGGCATCGATTAGTAAAAAACGATGCCGCGGAAAGATTAAACGATGCCGCAGGAGGTATCAACGACATCGCGGTATCATAAACGATATCGTTTGATTAAAAACGATATCGCAGTGGTTAAGAGCTCGGCCAAAAGTGGCCCGCCAAGCCCAACGACGGCGCGAGACTAGAGAACGACGTTGTTTGATGGACTAACAATGTCGTTGGTTAAACCGGGTCGAGGCAGTTGAGTTGGATTATAAAACGGCATCGGTTGGTGAAAGGCGATGTCGTGGTATTGGTGAAACGTCATCGTTACATGGACAAGGTTGTAAGTCGTTTCGCCAAGTTTCTGCAAAGCAAGAGCGGTTTCGAGGGCACGTGATTGTCACGCAACAAGGAGGAAGTTACCTGCACAGTTGACAGGAATGAAGACGTGGGAGACAAAGGCGCGAAGGCAGTTACTACGACGAGGAGAGGCGCGAAGTATAAAGATTGGGAAGAGAGAGAAGTTCAGGACGGCAAAATCAAATCACAACTGCACCGTCGCAGATTTTATCTTTTCTCTCTCTAGTTCGTAGAACCGCTCTGTCAAAGACCTCCTTTGCAGAGTCGTAGTCGTAGCTTGTAGTCGTAGTCGCGGAGCTCTCCAGAGGAACCTCCATAGGAGTAGAGGTAACGTAACTTAGAACACTCCTGGTTCGATTCTCTGTTTATTCGTCGAACACCCTCGTTCGAACGTAGTTTGGAGAGGTGTTGAACCGAATAACAGTTGTTTGATTAGAAGTCAAAGGTGTATCGATCAAATCAACGACGCCGATACCGGCGGCGGCCATTTGACGATCGTCTTGGTTTTTACTTTAATCGATCAAATCAACGACGCCGACTTCGGCGGCGGATATTTGACAATTTTTGCTGATTTCATGTTTGTGTTTTAATTGAAAACAGTGCGCATCGAACAC